TTAGATAAAATCATATCAAATTTGTGAATTAAATATTAAAAGTAAAGTTCTAATAATTGAAATTTATAAAATTACGACAAACAAAACGTTTTGGTTTAAAAAAAAAAAAAACAAAACAAAAAAAAAAAAAAAAAAAAAAAAAAAAAAACAACAAAAACAAAAAAAAAAAAACGTTCTATAACCAGCACTCAAAAATAAAGTCGTATTCCTGGGGATCAAATCCTGGCAATAAAAATCCTGAGTATTAATATCTATTTAGACTAACGTTAACACGCTTTACAACTCTGGATGAATAATGACATTTAAAACATGTTTGTGATATGAACATTGACTAGATGGACTTGAAGTACTTCTCGGAGAGATACCAACGTTTTTTTCATAAAAGTGTTTTTCAGGTTTATTGGATCCTTGCTCCATGTTTTCTTTAACCATGAAATTTATATATTTACGCAAGGCCATTGAGCAGTTAGGGATCTTTTCCGTCCCAGCACCTACTCCGACACAGGACCTCAGTTAATACGGTCTCATCAAAAGGACCAGTCTCAACGTCCCTCAGCCGGATTCGAACCTGCGACGTAAGGATCAGCTTCTTACCCCTCGACTCTAAAGCAAACACTCTAAAACTCTCCATCCACCACTGCGCCACGCCAGAAATCGGAGTGAATAAGCATTATGGGAGTCGGAACTTTGATGTGATTGCAGGCGCAGTAAATTAAATTTACTAGGTAACCTATTCTAAAGTCACCCGCGTGACCTTACGTCGCGGGTTCAAATCCAACTGCAGAACATGGAGACCGGTCTTTAGGATGAGACCGCATAAACCGAGGTCCCGTGTCGCAGTATATGCTGGCACCAAAAAGATCCCTCACTGCTCAATGGCCTTGAGTGCTTAGAATAGGTCCAAATTTGCACCCCTGCTCCAGCAAATGGTGGCGTCTCAATATGGGTGATTTTTTTTTTTCGAAAGGGACGCGATATATAAACAAACAAACAGGCAAACGAAACTGTCCTATAAAATTGATATCGATACCTTTTGGACCGTTAATATGTCCATTTTATCCTTGTGATGTCATTTAGGAAAAAATGTTTAATTCAATTGACGCAGAAATCAAATTTGATGCCAGAAAAAGAATTAATTGATACCTATTTCCAAATCATTCATTTTTGTAAGAATATAGGTTATATAGAATATAAGAATATGTTTTGGTGTTTAAAAGTGGAATATGCAAAAAGCACTCTACCGACAATGTTAAATTCAGGGCAAAGACTGTTATAGAGTGAAAATTTAATTAATCTCAGAAGATCTTCATCACTTCTTCTGCCCATCTTGAAGAAGCATGGCTAGGAAGCGTCGTTTAGTATACTTTGTAATCTGAAACCTGTGCAATCTGTTTCACTGTGAATTCCGACCTTGAATTTCATTGCTAAGTTACTATTTTCCCTGTTCTTTACACAGTGATGTCTCCGATACCTTGTCTTTTACAGCATAAAATTTGTGTCCGATTTCGTTTCGATTACAGAATCTGAAGCGTGCTAACGTTATCTATCCAAAGTTGTCACCGGCCTTCAGTTGTCATTCGGAAATCACTCGTTATTTTCGTTTGTTCCTTCATAAAAGAAAGTTTGTACATGGTTTTAATTAGTAGTCTACTTTTCATGCCCTATCATTTTAAAGCACCCCGTAGCAATGGTTTTAAAAGGGGACACCTACCAAAAATTATGACAAAGAAAAAAAACTAAACCGTCCAATATCGAAAAGGGGTAGGGGGAGGGGTGATTATGGTCATTTCCTTACATTTTGGTACAATTTTAAAAAAAAAAGTATTGGAATTTGCTTGATCTTACAGCAACAAAAAAAGAGGGGGGGGGGGGAGGGGGGCAACCGACATGTACACAACAAATGACATCTCATTTCTTAAAAGGGCCGCTAACGTAATTTCAAAAAGAAAATATTCGGGATATTGCTTTCTGTAATAAATGATTCCTTATAGTGTGGAATATCGATTTGGCAATGTGCGATCATATTGCCAGATATAAATTCTCAAATGTCAGACATAGAAATATAGTTGACAGTCACGTACATGCATCTTGTTTTAGCTAATAAAAGCTGAAATTGTTTTTATTTTTTTTTCTTACATGTACAATCATACATTAACAAAAAATCGTCCTTACATACCTCAGGGTTTTCAATGTTGTTAGAAGTAGTAAAAGAAATTAAAAGAATTTATTATACCTCATTATAACTGTTCTATACAACGCGTTACCTGATTGGTCCAATACAGTCACTTGACAGGGTCATAAAACTTCATATTTCCTTGTTGCCGTTATGCTAAACCACATCGAAAACATCGTACATTTTCCCCCTTTGCAATACGTATCGTTCGTTAAACTAAAAATTCCGAGAGTTGCAAAATTAATAATATTAGAAAGGGTTCATCTGCCAAACAGTGACGAATTTAGCAATTATCTTCTTTCCAATAAGGGTGTTTTGAAAAAGGGGAAAAAAGATACGGAAGACAATTGACTTTTTTAAAAGTGAATTAGAAAGAAGAGCCTAAATTGAATGTTATTTACAAAGGTTTGTTTTTTTTTTGGTACAATACCGCAAACGATTCATTCATTATCATGAGGGAAATACGAACAATTATATTCAACCAATAAAATCCATTTCCCCCGGGGAAATCATCAAGGAATGATTTAATCCTCATATTTCGCAGAAGTTCATGCACTAAAAATATAATGCATGGTAAGATTTCATGGTTTGTAATATTTTGAGCTGGCAGCTTAAATATACAGAGAAATAAATCAAGAACCAATGCACTCGTTTGTGCGCAATTGATATGTACTTTTTTGTCAAATTTGGTCGAGGGGGGGGGGGGGACTATACTTCTCTAATCGCCCATTCCAATTTCCTCTGGTAGATCAACGAGCTACAGATCAGCAACTGCAAAGTTGTATGTAAATTCTCGACTCTTTTTTTTTTCGCTTAACAGGTGAGCTTATTTTTCATCTTTTCCGTAATGCAGATTTATTTATTGTCTTTGTTGAGCTTGCGATTGATGTTCATTTGGTTGATCATTTTGAAAATTTTTATAACATTTTAAGTGAAACCCCACCCGTGACCACTTGTTAGTTGTTACTAATACATTTTCTATCAAAAGATGTCGTCATTTGACGGAAGTAAATAATTTCTTTCCAGTCTAATCTATATATTGTTTCTTTTGTTTCATACATACATTTTTAAGAATAAGTATACTATTGTCGATGTATTTATTGTTTTTCTTTAATATTGAGATATGCTCTTGGAGGTAAAGTCGGTTGGGTGGGGGTTCCACAGTTACTGTATTTTATTCCTAAACAAAATTCAAGCTCAATTTCAAGCTTTCATTGGAACAAATTAAACAAAATAGAATCAAAAGTAATTGGTATCAGAGAAAAAACTTTCATTATTTTTTCACTTTAAAAAAAAAACTACTTCGTATTTTAGAATTCACCAGCACTTCCGCCCAGTTGCTTTATGCTCTCCAAGATCAAGAAATTTCACTTTTATTATTCATACTCAAAATGTCCCCTATTGTATTGTGATTATTTATACACAAATGTCCCCTATTGTTTTGTGATAATTTTTACTCAAATTTCCTCCATTGGTTTTAGAATAATTTATAAACACGTCCCTTCTTGAATTATGATCAGGTACACTTACATGTCGTTATGATTCGCAATGATTTATTAAAAAAAATTCTATTGTATTGTAATGATCTATACATGAATGTCCCCTTTTGTATTGTGATTTTTTATACCCACAATGTCCCCTATTGTATTGTGTTTTTTATACACTAATGTCCCCTTTTGTACTGTGACTTTTTATACACATATATATGTCCCCTATTGTATTGTGATTTTTTATACACAAATGTCCCCTATTGTATTGTGATTTTTTATACACATATATATGTCCCCTATTGTATTGTGATTTTTTATACACAAATGTCCCCTATTGTATTGTGATTTTTTTTATACACATATGTCCCCTATTGTATTGTGATTTTTTTTATACACATATGTCTCCTATTGTATTGTGATTTTTTTTATACACATATATATGTCCCCTATTGTATTGTGGTTTTTATACACAAATGCCCTCCCCCCATTGTATTGTGATAATTCAAATACACAGTTCCTCGGTTGTATTGTTTTGATTACGGCATTTTTTTTTATTGTTTCCTAAGAGTTATACACAAATGTTTTCTGTTGTTTTGTTATAAATTACAAAGATCTCTCTACTGAATCGGGACAATTTATCCACAAATGTCCCTATAGCTTAATTATCTGCTCTCCATTTGTTCTCTAGTTAACTGCTATACTAACATGTAATACATAATATTCCCTACTGTTTTGCGATAATTCTTAACAATAATTCCTCTACAGTAACTGTATTGTACAAATGTAATACAAATGTATACATGTGTATAATCCCTTATTGTATTGTAATAATTAATACACAAAACACGTCCCCTGAAATGTATAATTCAAATATACATTCCCCCGATTGTATTATGATAAACATTCCACTCTTGGTTATACTTAGGGCATGAGCGGGGCTAAAGTCGTGGGCGAGAGCTCGAGCCGCACCCCGCCCTTTGTCTCCGATAGAGTAGGAAACGTATTCCAAATGATTTGTGTCATGACCTTTCTCATGAACTCACCTATTTACATGCGAATTTTGGTCTCAACCAATCAAATGATTTTGCAGAAAATTGGTTTAGTACCCCATTTTCAGCAGTCGCAACTGAAATGCCGAGTGAACGGGAAGTGCAGGAATCTTCAATTTAAATAATTATAATTATTATATGTGTATCTAATGTGTTTTCCGCAAAATTTAATTTAGATTTGATTACGTAGGTTTTCCACTCTCTATTTAGCTCTTACCAACACTTTTTTATCATTTAAACTACAAGTGTGCAAAACATTTTGATCCATCTTAAGAATTATTTCGGAATGTTATAGTGGGCATATTTTCATGTCACAAAAATATGTTCTACATACGAACAATCTCTAAAACAACTTATTGACTAACACGTTGATGAAACAAGAATATCAACAGTCTCCTTTGAAGTCATCATTTCACAAGTTCTATGGTCGATAAAATGACTTTGTCAGTAAATACAATCTATCATTAAGTCGAATGCTGACTGACGTTTTGCAAACTAATTGTTATGCCATTATTTACACATTTAATTGTCAATGGATTTTTCCGTTTTCCCGATCATGACAAGGAGCACATGGCGGGTGTCATAAAAACGTAGGTAGATATGAGGCCTTAAACAAAGGGAATAACTCTGATTTCATTGTACATCTGAATACCAATGCGGCTCGGTATTGTTGAATAATATTACCTATCATGAGTTAAAAAGAAATATGTGACCTTCATAAAAAATAAGCAAGTGAGCCGCGGGAAAAAAGTTGTGAATACAAGCACATAGTTTGGTTGAAGTAGATAACAAGACTGTGAACATCTGATTAAAAAAAAACAGCAAAACTGAAAAAAGAAAACAAACTGACAAAAATAATAGAACAGATACCATAAAGGTAGCCTAAGTGATTCAGTCAAAACTGATATATACTGAAATGCAAAAGAAACGCAACATCATATTTTAGTGGGAAATATTACATATAGGATATAATTATGTATCTAAAAAGTAAGGGCTTCTTCAATTTTGTAAATATCGGTAATTTAACAATTGAATGGTTTTCATACCATTACCAGAAGTGTAGTTTGAGTCTGCTTAACAAATATCAGAAATTGCATGTTTAACAAAATATTTGGCAATAATATGGAGTTTTAAGGTATTGTATCTGTTTATCATAAGTAAATCAGCAATGTTCCGAAAAATAAATTTCCCTATCTTTTCTGTAAGCGATGCCAAGGCTTCCTGAAAATGACTGAAGTAGACATTTCCATTGCACTAGCTGGAAAATCTCAAAATAAAGGTGATGGGGAGTTGCAGATGCAAATATGACCTCCATCACGCCTCAACAGTCTTTTACGTATCATTAGCATGAATGACATTCCTTGGACCGGAAGTCCAAGCGTTACTACACTGCGCTTGGCTAGAGAAAATTCGACCTCATCATCTGAAAAACAGGCATTTAAAAATGGCAAAGAATATTTCTTTCGCTCAGATCTCGAGATTGATGAACCTATCGCATCGTAGAAATCAAGCTGCAATTGTTGTGCATGGCAGACTTGCACGCTGTAATTGAATGGCCGGGGTGGGGGTGTTTTAACAGTCATGTGTTACTTTCTAAAGTTAAAAGATAATCATTTAACATTTTCATCAAATCTTTGATGTTTTCAAATCAAGTTTTACCTAAGTAAAAATCATTAGATAAAAAATTCAAATATCTGTAGATTACTGCTTTTTGCGTTTCGTTTGCGTTTCAGTATATATACAAAAAGACGATTGATCACTATGAGAACAACTAGTTTTAATGCTACAGTAAAGAACCCAGTCCATACTTTTTGCTTTCTAACAGTAAAATGTCTGAAATACCTGAATACCGAGGGAGGACCTTTTATTATACTGCGTTTTAAGGTCCGCCTTGCCTCTTTCTCTTATTTTTATGCTACGAAAATAAACCCTGTACAGAATTTTCGCTTTGTAATAGTAAGATATCTGAAATACAGAGGGCGGACCTTTTATTATACTGCGTTTTAAGTTCCGCCTTGCCTCTTTCTCTTATTTTTATGCTACGAAAATAAATCCTGTCCACAATTTTCGCTTTGTAACAGTAAGATACCTGAAACACAGAGGGAGGACCTTTCTTTATCTGCGTTTTAAGGTTCGCTTGCCACTTTCTACAGTTTTTATGCTACTGTCGTAAATAAACCATGTCTGAAGTTTTTGCTTTGTAAAATGTAGATAGTTGAAATACAGAGGAAGAAACTTTTATATGGGATCTTTTAAGGTCCGCTTGCCACTTTCTATAATTTGTATGCTACGAAAATAAACCCTGTTCAACATTTGTAAGATATCTGAAATATTGAGGGCGGACCTTTTATTATTGCTGCGTTTTAAGGTCCGCCCTGTCATTTTGACTAGTTACACGCCCTTAGGAAGCAGATTCAGTTTGGGGGGGGGGGGAGTACAGCCATACATTTTCAGTTGACAGTTGAGGGGGCACTACCAAAAATTTCCTGACAAGCAAAAAAAAAAAAAAAAAAAAAAAAAAGAAAAGAAAAGTCATCAAACGTTTTTATTAAGGGGGCACAAGCATATAGTATCTATCTTTACTATAGTAATCTATATATCGGCAAAATGATTGGGGGGAACGGCCCACCGTGCTCCCCCCCCCCCCGGTTTCTACGGCCATGAGTTATGTTAAGGAATCAAACCCTATCCAAAATTATCGCTTTGTAATAGTAAGATATCTGAAATAAAAAGGGCGAACCTTTTATTATACTGCGTTAAAAGTCCACATTGCCCCTTTCTTTACTTTTTTATGCTACAGAAAAGAACCGTGTCCAAAATTTTCGCTTTCTTATTAGTTATATTGCCAGATGAATATTTGGCGGTCGCCATATAATTTTCAGGTGGCCGCCAGATAAGTTATCGCCAGAAAAATATTTTTCTACCTGGCACCTACCGGCTTCCGTATGTTTCGAATATTACCTAATAAAATTTTGAATAATGATTATATGAATATTTTCGGTATTGGCTGGAGAAATTTCCGGTAGTACAATGCATCTCAGGCGAGGAAGAGTGGAAGGAGGCTAAATTAGTTTTATAAGTGGAAAAACCTATGAATTAAACTTTTTCCTCCGGATAACCGTGACTTGCCAATGTCCATAAATGACTAAAATAAATTATCAGCGTTTATTGAGAGATAAATATTTTTTCAATTGATCTGAAATTAGACTGAAACGTTATAAGAAAGAATTAAATCCAAACCATTATGGTCTCCGACGATGTATTACATGGAAAACTCCCTACATACCGCGAAATCGAATTTTTATTTAAAAATACAGTTGTGTTGTGACAAAGCGTGAGGTGTAATTTCTTTTAAAATATAAAAATGTACGTCACACCAGAAGGATTGGTGCACTAAATGTATGCTAAAAAGAGAAAGTAGCAGACCCCCCCCCCCCCCATGATTGGTCTCTAAATTTTATGTTTGATCAAGAAAATTTTTATCCTCTGCAGAAATCTTCATCCTGAAAAAATGTATGCATTTATTCATTAAAAGATATGGACTCTAACCACACTGCAAATTCCGAATTCACTTCTTGTGGTAATGCACTATTATCTGCGGAGCGGAAATAAATACGTGTAATCAAATTTTAATTTTGTCTTAACTTAAGCAAAATTGTCATCTATAATCAAGCAGGAATAAACACACTGGTATTATTTTTTTTCAAAAAATTAATCCTTCTTTTCCTACGAAAAGGTACTTAATTATCATGGAGAATATACCGGTAATGACTGGCTAACGGTCAAAAACTTTTTCTTCATTTGCAAGTACCATGATAAAAGTTTGTGGATTCTGGGATTGCTTTAATAAGGAAACAGTAAAGACGGAGTAAAGATGATTGCTCTGTGAGCTTGCTTTCCACTGCAAGGAAGAGCGCTTTGTCTAAGAAAGTCGTATTTTCAGCAGATACATGAAGGAAGGAAGTGAGGGGGGGGGGGCGCCTTTCGTTAATGAGAAAACGGCTTTCAGTGCCGAAATGATCACTGGATAAAATTATATTACAGCGATAGGTATTATTTGCGTTAATAATGCAGTGTTTCTTCAGCAAATCTTGTGTATCTGCTTCCTGTGATAAGTGTAGTGGCGGCTGGAGAGGACGATATCTTTATTAAATTCTTCGGGTCATTTGTGCGAGGAAAGGTGCAATCGAAACAGATCCTCTAAACTGTTCCAAAAAGGAATAAATTCCGGAACATAATTATCATTTGGGAAAAATCACCAGGACTGAAAGTATACGAACGGCTTGATTTAATTTATATGTGGTTTATTATATTGATTAACCTCTCTCTCTCTCTCTCTCTCTCTCTCTCTCTCTCTCTCTCTGGAAAAGGGTGGGGATCAGTTATTGTAAATATTTCAGTTTTCTTTGAAATTGTTCAATTACGGATCATAAAATCGTAGAATAAAACTTTTGAAACAGAGAAAAAATAAACATACAAACAAACAATTAAATCTGATTTGTGTAACTTTTTAAAGGGGATTGGGGGAGGGGGCATACAAGCCTCTAGTATTAGATGAATCTGAGTTTTCCGCCGAAATTTTATAACTATGCATCATAAAAAGGCACAATAAAATGTATCAACAAGAAAAATAAATTTAGAAATAAGCTTAAAAAAAGATTTAAAAAAATAAATTTTAAGAAACACACAAAACAAAATAATATCTCTCGTCTGGGCTCTCAATTTTTTTTTTTTTGGGGGGGGGGGGGGGGAGTTAGTGTTAATATATAAACCTGGATTTTCTTCTGAAATGCTAAAATCATCGATCATAAAAATATCAAGGTAATTAAAAAACTACATTTGTAATGCCATCTGTAGTCCAAGGAGATTTTTGTATGCAGTTTGTACACCACAAGCATGGAAATGTTAAAACAAAATAAACGGCACTGCTAAAAGCAACTAGATAAGGAGTAGAATTCCTGCTCTAGAGATATATTGTACAAACTTTCTTTAATTTTATGTGTTTAAATCAAGATTAAAACCTTTTGCACTACCCGGACCTTTAAACGTAGGCAGACCTTTTCTTATAAAAGGCGGACCTTATATGTTATCGTATTAGCCCCCCCCCCCCCCCCCCCAATTTTAAACAAGGCAGACCAAATATCATGCGACACCAGTCGGAAGGGGTGCTTACTCCTCCATGGCACTTTGAACTCGAGTGTTTTTAATGTCCGTGTTTGCCCTGCTCACGATTTGTACGGTTTCAACATAGGCACTACACAGCTTAATTGTTAAAAAAATATATCTACTATACT